TAAGCAACCTTCTGCTCCACCCAGTGAAGTAATAACTGACACACCAGCACAGCCGGACCTGGTGTTCTGACGCTCGTCCACCAGAGATGCCTCAGGAGTCTGGTTCACCTTCCTCGCTCGGACAGACGAGGACGGGAGGTGTGTTGATTCCTCACCCACGCAGGCAGAGCCAAGCCCCTGTTTCCAAAGCCAGCTCTCTCTTCACTCTGCTGCTCTTCATCCGGGAGCCCTCAAGCTGCAAGCACACATCCTTCTCCTAAAGTCATCAGTGGCTGATGAGCGTACACGTGAACTCACAGGCTTCAGCATTAAACCCATCTCCTACCAGGCAGAGCAAGAAAAACGTTAGTGCAACAGCATAGAAATGCTGGGTATCCAACCAGACACGTAGAAAAACTGTAATTTGATAGAACACAGCTAGAGAAATTTTCATGATTTCCCAGATAAATGTTCTTGGGAAAATTGGCTAGCAGCATGATAGGAAAGTGGTTTTATTAGGCCCAAAACCACACTATATATAATGATAGCTAACATTTATATAGCACCTACTGTGTGCCAGACACTGTGCTAAGGACTTTACAATTATCTCATGATCTTCACAACCACCTTTGTATGTGCTATTATGGTACCCACTTTACAGAGAGGAAGCTGAGGCAAACAGGGTTAAGTGATCTGTCATACAGATAGTGAGAGTCTAAGGCTGGATTTGAACTCCTCCTCCTGATTCCATGTCCAACACTATCCACTGGGCCAGCCACCTTAAGGGAGGGAATATTAAAGGGAATTCCAACTCACTAGTATAAAAACTGCCATGAAAATCCGAAAGAATTGTGATGAAGAGGTCGAGTTTTCTGATAAGCAAAGAGAGTAAGTTCTGGACAAGGTGGGTGTCTCATGAAAACAGGCTTCAGTACATTGTTAAAGAAAATCACTAAGCAGAAAAATACGCTATGATACAAAATCTTGACATTAGATCAACTGTGTAAAAGATATAATAGCACCACCTGTTCTCTACTGATCATTTTTAAATGTTCAGACTCATCATCACATGCAGATTAAAACAGTTTTGAGGCAGCATTCTCACATGCATAGAATTGCTATATTAATAATAGAAGCCGCCGAATTCTAGTGAGGGTGTGGAACATTAGCACCTCGCGGGCTCGGGTGGCTGGTTTTCTGTTTGGTCCCTGGCGCGCTGCACAGGAAGAGTCCTCAAGTGTTGATTCAACTGAGTTTGTTTTAATTGTAGAGAAACTTGTCCATTGCTAACAAGTGCAAACTAGTACAGTGTCTTTGAAGGATGGACTCATAGGGTATACAACAAATATTAGGAAAAATAAACACGTCCTTTGGCGCCCAAATGCTCATCAGCACTCCGGGCCTGGAGTTGGGAGGGCCTCAGACTGAACCAGTCACAGAATCGCTGTCTGCCTCAGTTTCTCCATCTGTGAAATGGATAATGACAGCACCTACCTCCCAAGGTGGTTGTGAGGATCAAATGTAATGTTTATAAAGTGCTTTGCAAACTTAAAATTGATATAAAATGTTAGCTGTTGTCATCATGTTGTTCTCCATATTAGCCTAATTCATTCAGTTGATCCAAGTGCAACTACTTTTCTCTGAATTATTTATTCATAATTTATTACCACACAGTACTAATCCATCGTATCCATGTACTACACCGTTGCTGAGCCGTTCTCCAAATGATGGAGTGCCCAGGTTCTTTCCAGTTCTTTGCTGCAACAGTGTTGCTATAAAGGTCTTATCCCTCCACGTGGGCCTTTTTAAAAACTTCTGTGAGGGATTATCGTTGTCCGTTTGTGACACACTCTTTGTGATGCCATGTGGGATTTTCTTGGCATTGGGACTGCAGTAGTTGGCCCTTTCCTTCTCCAGCAGATTAAGGCAAAAGTAAGTGAAGTGACTTGCGGGGTCACACATGTCTGAAACCAGATTTGAACTCAGGTCTTCTGATTCCAGGCCAAGCTACCTAGCCGCTTTGAGGTATATGGGGATGGCCTTCCTTAGTCAGAGGCTGTGTATGGCTTAGTATATTTCCAAATTATTTTCCAGATTGGTTGCAAAATTCAGCCATTCAGTCCTGCCATTTTCGTCTTCTGTGTTTGTCAGTTCAGTGCACATGAAGTGAAACCTGAGGCTTGTGTGCATGTTCCTCCTATAAGTGATTTTTAAGCTTTTTTTTTGCCTTTTGTCATTGCAAAAAACTAGAACTGTTCTGAATTCCTAATTGTATAGGAATGGCTGAGTAAACTATGGGTAGTACGTTAACATAATGAGCTATTGCGATGCGAATAATACCCACATAGCAGGAATACAAAGAAATATGGAAAGACCTTTTTGAAATAAAGCAAAGAAGGGGGCAACTAGGTGGCGCAATGGGTAGAGGAGTCAGGAGGACCTGCATTCAAATTTGGCCTCAGACCAAACACTTGACACTTACTAGCTGTGTGACCCTGGGCAAGTCACTTAACCCCAATTGCCTTTAAAAAAAAAAAAGAAAGAAAGAAAGAATGCAAAGAAAAAGTAGAACAAAGCATACGCTAATTACAACCATTGAACAGGAATGAACAAAGAAGATTCTGGGAAACTAAAAGTGAATTAAATTTTGTATTATTCATTTAAAACTAATGCTTAAATATAGTTACAAAGTAAATTTAGTTGCTTGTATTAGAATTTAAAATACTTATAATTGGTTTTAAAATATGATAGTTTACTTCCAGCAAGGGGGCTTACAATCTAATGAGAGAAGGTTTGAACACAGGCAGACCGTAATAAGAACTGTAAGAAAAGGGCACAATTCTAGGAGAGTTCCCAGGTGGGAGGTTTGGCTAAGAAGAATCAGGGAAAGATAAAGAAGGTGGAGATATTTGTGCTGGATCTTAAAGAAAAAATGGGATTCCAGCAGGAGGATGTGAGAAGAGAGGGAAAGGGAGGGGGTGGGTGGGAACCAGAGACTGGAGGGGCTTGAATACCAGGCTGAGGAAGCCACTGAAGGCTTTTGAGCAATTGAAAACCATGCTCCAGTTTTTACCTTAAAAAGATCAGCTTGGCAGTGGCCAAAAAAAAAAAAATGAGAATAGCCACAACAAGACAGAAGGCAATTGGCCCAAATACTTATTAGCGTACCACCTCTCTATATGGAGCGGGTGCGGTAATATCCTGTTAACATTAACATGCCGCAATCTGTTAAGTCACAAATGTAGCAACAGCCTGGGGTGATATGTGACACAGACCCCTTGGACCAGGGTATCGGTGTTAGGAGGAAGTTCCCAAAGTGTTGTCCTGAAGGAATGTTTCTGATGGTGACAAAAGATAACACAGAGCATGTTAGCAAAATAATGACGGGACCAATTAGAGCAGAAGTTATGTGAAGGGACAGGAGAGGTAGGTTAGAGCCAGAGAGCAGAGGGGCTTGGATACCAGCCTGAGGAGGCCACTTTGGAGCAGGTGGGCAAGATGATCATGTCCCCATTTGAGTGTGTTTATAGACATGTCATCTGAAGAATGCCCAAAGCTGTCTTGATATTACAAATGACAGATCAAGATTCAAAAAGACAATAGTGATGACTAAAAGTTTAGCAGTTGGTTCAATAAAACTTAGCCTTGTCACAAAAGGCTGGGAGATGGGACTGCACGTCATGTTCATGTTGGCAGCTGACTGACACCCCCATGGGGGTCACCGACTGTCTCGTGACTGCCAGAGTGCTTACTGTCTAAGAGAGATGATGGTCACATTGAATTGGGTGTTGAGCAGACCATTCGTGGAGGAGTGGATTAGTTCTATTGCCGTGTTTTAGATGTAATGTTGATAAATGATCATGTCTGGAAGGGAGCAGCTCAGATGAAGAAAGGACTGGAAACCACGTCATGTGAGGATTGACCGAAGGACCTTGGAATGTGTAGTCATAAGAATAGAACTTATGGTGGGATTTTTTGGTATTTGGAGCCGTGTCGTATGGAAGGGGGAGATGACATGTATGTGTGACACAAGAAAAAGGCACTAGAACCTGTAGACGAATTACAGGGAGACCAACTTCAGTTCATTGTTGAGGTTCTTTTTTTCCTAATGACCTGGAGCAGGCTGAAAATGGAATAGGATTCCTCCTGAAATAGTGACGCCTGTCCCTCCAGAGCGTTCCAGGAAGAAACTGGATGACCACTTGTTAGAGATCACGGAGAGGGGATTCATTTGTCCCAAGGTCCCTTTTCAACTTTAGGATGCTGGGGCAAATTTTGGAAACTGATTTGGATGTAAGGACATGCTGCCTAGGAGAATGGTGTGAAAGCACATAAATTGAGTAGTCAAGAGGCAGACTAGATTGAGAGTTTAGTTCTGGATGAGGAAAAAACAATAGGACCTCGTCTGTATTATAGGTTCTTATTATTTAAGATACTACCTTTTTTATTGGTAGTAACTGTGCAGTGAAAGAGACAAGCAAACTCTGGAATTTCTGGCCTAAAACGAACAGTTGGCTACAATCTGGCCTACAAGAAGATTTGATAAAGGCTCAACGACTTAGTGGTGGCGTCTTAGCTTTACGTGTTGAAGGTGAGAGAAGAGGGCCTGAGTCCCAAAGAGTTGGATCCTCAGGCATATACATATATACATATGTCATAGGGATGTGTGTATATCGTTCCCCATTGCCTTACATGGGAAACTCTTCTTTCATTTGTGAAAGACAAAATTTTAAGAGTCTGAAATAACATTCAGTTTTATGAGAATACAGTTTGATTTTGATCGTAAAACAAACTTTTTACTATTCTGAACCTACTGGCTTTAACCAGAATAACCATCATAACCCCAGCTAGTATCATTTCATACTTCTCCGTTAGAGGCTTTTGGAAGTAAAGGCTATACACCGAAGTATGAGTCGTATGGTGGTGTCTTTTCTCCATATCTACCTGCCAGATCTTTTACAATATGGATCAACCTAATAGAACAAACTTTTAAAATAATCATTTTCTTTTTTTCTCTCCAGTGGGACCATATGGAATATTTGCTGGTAGAGATGCCTCCAGAGGACTAGCAACATTCTGCCTAGATAAAGAGGCGCTCAAAGACGAATACGATGATCTCTCAGACTTGAACGCTGTGCAGATGGAAAGTGTTAGAGAGTGGGAAATGCAATTTAAAGGTACTGGTGGTGGGTGGGCATGAGAATGTACTTTACTCTTCATAATTCTCCATCATTAGGAAATAGATTTTAGTTTTCATTTACTTTCTTTTAAAGCCCAAAGATGGTATGCTTTTCACTATGATTCTACTTTTGTGATATTAATATATTTTAATATTTGTAAGGTACAAATACTTCTGCCACTTAATGGTATTCAAGAGTGTTAAAATCTGATTTCTCAATGGTCGTGTGTCACACATAGAATATAGAAGCTCTAGTTACATACTCCCTTGTCTAAAATCCCAAAGATTGCTTTGTTATTCAAATTGTTGTTTACTAATATTGACATATAATTTAATTATAATTAAACTCCAATTTTTAAAAAACTTCATTGTGCCCTCTAACATATATTGGAAAGGCACTACTTTCTGAACAGCCTCTTGGGTAGGTTTTCCTAACCCGTTTAGACTCCTAGCTTCCTGTATGCTTGCATCCAGCCATTACGCTATTATGTATGTGTAGAGCAAAACCTATTAATAATTCGGAATGCCTTAACAGTGAGAAGAAATGTGACATGGCTCAGATGTGTGTGCTCACACACATGAGAGAGAGGAAAAAACAGTGTGTTCTCCAGCGGTGAAGACCTTCATGGGGTCACCCAAATCTCTGTTTTTTTCACACAATTTAAATAGTTCTTCTGGATCAGTAGCATTAAAGAATTTTGAGATGGTGTTTCTCCTTGGCAAAGTAGAGAGCGGCCTGCTAAAAGGAGCTTCCCACACCTTATCAGCGTTCCCATTTTGTTTGGAGTAGCAAGCTGTTCATTTAAATAATTGGCAACCTCAGTGAATGATAAGGAAGTAACTTACTCTGTTGGAGGAGATACATGACTTCCCCCTTCTGTAGTGACACTGAAAACAGAAACTGATGGCTGCGATTGATAATGGTCTTTTCCTGTCTCTTCCAGAAAAATATGATTATGTTGGCAGGCTCCTCAAACCAGGGGAGGAGCCATCAGAATACACAGATGAAGAAGATACCAAGGATCACAACAAACAGGACTGAACTTGGTCAACAGCCAAAGTCAGGGGCCTTCAGAACTGCAACCTCTTTTAATTCCCTTTCACAGAATGTCCTGCGTCTTTGGGTTTGAGTCATCTGCTGCGAGAAAAAAAGAAACCATTCAACAGATTTGGTACAAGAACATGCGTAGCCATGCTCCGGAGCTTCAACTGCTGGACACCGTCTGAGCTGCCAGATGGTCGTTGGGGTCATCTGCGGCGGCCAGCGCAGCTGTGGCGCCGAAGAGGAGGGGGCGGGGATTCTGGAAGGTGTGAGGAAGCCACCCAGCTGGTCCTGCTTGGTGATCACAGACACCCAGCAGCACGGGCTGCTCTGGAAGCGTACCGGCTTTCTCGGGAAAACAGCATGGACGTGTTTTTTATGTGCTGTATTTTTGTTTCAGCCTTGAGGGAAAACTTGTATACATCCATCCGTTTGAGTAGTTGGCCTACTGAAACATTAAAATGTGAATTTCCAAGCTTTTGTCATAGAGGTGTTACTAGCTCTGGCAAAAAATAAATAAATAAACAAATAAATGAAAACAGTACTTCAGTCCTAAGAAACCTTGGCAGATTAGAAGGGGGATATCAGGTTGTCCTTTTCCCAGGTGGATTTATATCAGAACTAATTTCCCAGCATCAAGAGCCCCGAAGCCAGTCTCTTTACCCCTTTCTTCAAATCAGATCAACATGAATTGTGCCTTATTTCATTTAGGTAGACTCGGATTGTTTGAAGGAGAGCCCTATTTGTGATGTCAGAAGTCACTACAAGCAGCATTGAGACTGAAGCTGAGAAGGTTGCGTTGACTGGAAACCTTGATGTCATTCTGTGTGCGTAGAATGTAAAAGGGATATTCAGTGTTACTGCCATATCTGTTAATGTACATGAACTTAATTAGCATTGCAATGGCCAAATACACCCTCCATGATCTCTTTTTAAAAACAAATGAAAAGGCACCTCCCTGTCCCCCAAGCAGCTGCCTAACCATGGGAGCCCAGCCTTTGCGTCTCCTGATGCAAGGTGCGAGTGTGCAGGGGGATCGTGTGGCTGGGTGTCTGCAGGTGTGTCTGTCTTAGTGGGAGTGCATGTGTGTGTGTGTGCGCGTGCGTGAGAGAGGGCCTCAGAAGGGGCTGCTTCTGCCGATGTTGTAAATACAAATGCCATTTTAATAAAGCATGTACAATAAACCAAAATAAGTTTGAGTTGGACTTTATATACAAAGTATGAGTCTGAGTTAGGCTTTTGTTGGCCAGGTTTGTGCTGTAACCTGAGGATAAGGAAAACTCTTAGTCGTGAAAACTTGGCTTTGTTAGCTAATGGTACCACATCCATGGAACTTCACGAATTCTCCAGAAAAATCTGAGGTGATTCAGGTAAGAATGGGCTTATTAAAACATACCTACTTTCCTCTATGTTTGGTGAAAGCATTACAGGTAGCAGTAATTGAAAACATAATAAAAAGGAAATATTCCCCCATTGTTCATGAAATTCTCTCCCCCCTAGATTGAAAATGCCCGGTATCTGACCAATCACTGGACTTCATTATGACCGCTTAATTCCTTAGCAAGGCGACGTGTTGGGCCCAGAAAAGCAATCATCTTTAAAAAGTCACCAACTAACCAGATTGCTTCTTTCTGTTGTTATAGACTTGATGTATTCACTCAGAAGCAGTCTCACAGAAGAAAACACTAAAACCACAATAAATTGAGCTCTAATGGACGTGAACGACTGTGTTCTGTATCCAGTTTTGGAATGTTTTGTACAAAACAGTTGAACCTCCACTAATTTGTGCTAGGGAGTGGTTGCAAGGACTGAAGAATGTTGGTAGATGCTGTGTGTGTGTTTATGTAAGGCATTTTCTAGAAGAAAAAATGTTAAGATAGATGTCTGTCATAAATTGATATGAATCACTTGAGCCCAAAGTTCATAGTAAATCCACACTGTGGCTACTTCAATTTTATAGATTGGTACAGCCAATATATATATATATATATATATATATGTGCAGTCTGTTGAGAGAAAAGAGCAATTTGTGTTTGAAATGAAAATAAAGTTCTGTAGATAACACTCTGGACTTCAGTTAAATGTGTCCCTCATCTTGGAATATTCTTGCTCAGCAGTCAGTGTAAGTCCCCACAGAAGTAGATCTGGGTTCTAGTTTTTGTTGTTGTTGTCTTCGGTTTTTTTTTAAGGAAAATTTGTTCCAATTTTATTTGTGTAATGCTAAATTATTTTCCAGATGGCCGTACAAATGCCCAGCTCCACCAACAATACAGTAGTGTACTTATTTTTCCACACTCCCCCCAACATTGACTATTTCCATCTTTACTTAATCTTTGCCCCCTTTTTTAAAAACATTTATTTTGATTTATCAACAATCATTTTCTGTAAGTGGGTTTTAGTTTTTTAAAAGACCATCCTGGGGAATAAGAATAAGATGAGGAAAGCATCAGTGAGTCTTATCTAAACCTGGCCAGGGACTGGATTCATTCTTCCAAATGCAACTCTGTTTCTACCAATAGCCTGTCCAGGCCTGCCCCTGCCACTTGTACTTAAGTGGATATAGTGAGTGGGGAAAAAAAGTAGACCCGCCTTTCCCTCCATCCTTCCTCCCTCCCCCATTGCCTTGTCTCTTTAAAGTCTGTTAGCCCTTGCCTAACCTTTGTTTCTCCCCCAAGTAGTTAAAGAATTATGTTCTGGAGAATAAAAACGCTGGCAGGATTATTTGGCATAGTGAATCTCTTTCCATTTGAGGGAATAATGAGGTCACCAGAAGAATGAGTGGCAAAAGGGAAGAGGCTACAACTCCTGGGCGTGCCAATCCTCGAGACTGAAGTAGAACTCAAAAAATGGTGAGGAGACCAAATGGCTAGTAGTGCAAGGTCTGCTTGTGCAAAACTAGTGAACGTGCCTCTGCGGCCAGGTGTAGCCGTCGGATGGATCTGTTGAACAACTTTTCATCGCTGAGTTTGCCTTCGTTTCCACAACTCCATGTAATAAGGATATTGGCTTTGCCCCAGTGCAGCTGCCTGGACCATAATAGGCATTTACTGTTAAAAGGACCAACCTGTGCAAACCTTCAGCCACTCTTTAAGCGTGTTGGCTCTCTGGGGCTAACGAAAGCTCCAGCAGTGCAGGGAAGTAACACTCAGGCCCATGTTTTAATAGCTGTCAGTCATCACTCTGTGAGAGCCTTTATTGAGATTTATTCTAGCATCCAAAAACCAGTGCTAAAACACAAAAACAGTGCACATCCATGGGATGGTCATTAGAATAACGATGAAACTCAAAACTGCATCACCGGGTTCAGTAGTCGGAGGACCTGGGATCGTTCACCTTGGAGAAGACAAGACGAGTGGAACGTGATTGCTGCTGTGGAGTATTTAAAGGGTTCCAACCAGCAGCAGTGGTTGGACGTTATGGGGACAAACATTCATCTGAAACTGAATCGGCTGCCTTGAGGGAGTGTCTGTGTATCCCAGGAGGTGTGTGAATGAGAGCTCACCTGGGCCGCTAATTGTAGATTAATTGATTAATGATGATAAGCATCAGGCAGAATAATCTTCCAGGTCCCTTCCAGTTCGTATTCTGTGAATGGGTGGGATGCTTTGGGAGTAAGGACCAATTTCAAGAAAATGTGTGCACATTTGGTGAATTCTATTTTTGTTGTCTACGTTACAATCAGAAGAGGCACTGATATAAATATGTGGGTGTGTACACGTACATGTCTGCATGCACAGGTCTGTGTTCAGAATGTGTTTCGGGCTAATACGGAACCAAACAAGGAGATTGGGAGGTAGAACTCCTAGTCCTGCTTCCTGCATGAGCACATAAGTTCTCCGCTCCACGTTAAGGATTAGTTGTTTCATGTAAGTCTGTTGCTTAAGTGGTCACCCGCAAGGTAATGTGCTACTAGCTGTAGTAATTATTTAACTTTCGAAAGTAGGTCCTTTGGAGCCCTGGTACCAGTGGAGTTTATTAATGCTACAAACATGTCCAAGAAAAGCAGTATGGCATGGCGTATAGAGGGCCAGCCTCAGAGTCAATGAGGTCAGGGTTCAGGTCCTGCGTCGGACAGATTCATCCTGTCTGTGTGCCCGCTGGCACATCGAGCCTTTTAACGCCCCACAAGCAACTCTCAAAGCCTCTCCATTATAGTGCCACTCAACAACTAAGCAATTTCCACCCTGGAAGTTCCCCACTCCAGGCATTCCCCCTCTAAGTTTTGGTAACAGTGGGCAGTGAGATGGACTGCTGGTCTCAAAAGAATGAAAAAGCATTCATGGACTAAGTGCCAGGGATACAACTGCAAAAGCATGACAATGCCGACGCTTGATAGAGAGGTGATGGCCAGGGAAGGGGGTGTGGGTCAGAGAAGTGATGTTGAGGGGGCCAGAAGGCTCTCCAGGGTCACCACCTTTCCTGAGTTCCTTGGAGTGTTCCTTTGATTCCATTTCTCTGGGCTAGGAGGGTTGGGGTTGGGACAGTCTGGTAGGTCGGAAGATGAGGACGCTTGGGACTAGGTAGTGCAGGGATGAATGACTGAAGAGCGTTCCAAAGCAGGGAAAGTTGGCAAATGTGAATAGCGTCGGGGGAAGGGTGGGTTCTTGTGTGGGCATTTAGTGACCTGGATCTCTTCATAGTGGTCCCAGTGAAAAGGAGCTGTTTTTAAAAAGCATTAACCATATCTCTTGAGTTTCTTGGTGCTTGGTACCATTTGGTGGACAGACTGTACCTAAAGTATTATATTGGCGAGGCACCCAACCATGACCCCCTCTGCATCCTGCCAGCCCCTCCTAACTCACACACACACACACACACACACACACACACACACACACACACACACACACACACATACACACACATACACACAGAAGAAGCCAAAGTAGTCTGCTGGATATGGTGAACTGCCCCTCTGCCTTTTTTGTTTCAGTCCTCATATCAATCCTGGTCCTCTTTCCCCCAAAAATATGGAGGATTAGAATCCATATGTTGAAATTCCTGTCATGGGAAGATGTCACTGGAGAACTCTGAGTGTTGATTCATGTTTCTCTCCCCGAAGCATGCAGTGTCTTTGCGCGCCGAGTAGCAGTTTATGAAGTAAATTGCCAAAATCACTTTCCTGAGCTTTTTTAGTATTTTTGCAGATTCAAGCCACATTGCAACATCACTACAAAGTTGTCAGATTACATCCGCATCCCATGAAGAGTTCATTTCTGATGTGTGCTTCATGTCGGGGGGGGGGTAGGGAATTAACATGTTTGCTAGCTGGACCCTCCTGTCAGTTTTCCTTCATTTCCAAAGCTAATGCTATTGGCAGAGATTAAGGTCTGTCCATGGGGGAGATGCAACAAAGCCGATGGAGAGACCGTGGGCTTTGTAGAGTGTCTTTGTAAAGCCTGTTAATTACACTCACAACTGGCGCCAGGAGAGCCTCTAACCCAGCTTTGGTTAAATGTCAGTGGCCTGCCACAAAGGTGCCAAGATTGTACTGGGGGTATTGGGGCTCTCACATCAGGGAAAGGCTTCATGAGACCTTATTAA